TCCAGTGCGGGTTTCCTTTTTCCTTCACTCTGCCTGGAAGAGCCTCTCCTCACTTCCGCGTGTTGAAATCCTACCCTTCCCGTCTGGCCAGCCCAGATGTCCTCGAAATCTCCTCTCACTCGTCCAGCTGGAAGGGCCGCTCCCTGCTGCAAACAATCTTCCCGAGCACAAAATCTGGACCTCCCTCATGGCGCTGACCACTTCCTGCTTGTGATGCCCGATAGGCAGAGGCCCTATCTGACTGTTCCCAGGAACCCTGCAGGGTCCTGCCCAGAGCCAGTGCTCAAGCTACTCAGGCCTAAAACATGAGCAGCACTGTGCATTTGGTGGGCCATGATTATGACCCCATTTTAGGGATGGGGAAATGGAGGCACAGACAAGTGGATGGGTTTGCCCTTCCACCCAAAGCAGAGCCTAGACTTAGCCCTGTGCTCCTGGTCCCAGAGGCAGGGCTCTTTCCAGGGCAGCTTGGTGGGAGGTGGGAGGAGGGTGGGGTAGGGTGGGAGCTGGGTCCTGAGAACGAGCAGGCCAGAGAGATTTGGAGTTGGAACGGCCAAGTTCAGGAAAAAGCACAGCTGGGGAGGAGCCAAGGTATTTATTATGCTTGGTCTCCCGCTGCAAACAGAGCTGATGGATGGAGCTGCTCCAGTTCCTATAAACAGCTCACCTCCCTCCCCTCTGCCTCTCCTCACTCTCAGCCACTACAGCCCCAACTGCTTCTGGGGTGGTGGGGGCCGGGGGAGAGATGACAAAGGGAGGGAAAAGAGAAGTGAAGAGTGGGAGAAGGAGAAAAGGAAGAAGACAAGACAGGGTCCCAGAGGCAAGAAGAAAGTGGAGGGAAGTAGAGGATGTTGAGAGAAGGTATTTCCTTTGCCTCTTCACTGGACCCTTGTGCACCAGGCAGCCCCCATCCTGTGTCCCGCATTCTGCTCTATGTCCTCTGGGTCCCCTGCATCTGTCTGAGAACCCATCGCCCCCTTTTCTTTCTGAGGCCCGAGCTTAACCCGCACAAGGGTTCAAGTCCTGCAGGGCTGGACTTCTGCATTGGGAAGGAAATCTTTTCTGAACACACCTTCTGTGCTGGCTCATGGGCCTGGGGACACAGAAAGGACTCAGGTGGAACCCCTTCCAGGAGCTCTTGGTCTGTTGGCAGGTGAAGCAGAGATCCCCACCGCTGTGGCCCACAGCAGTGTGGGGCTGTGGAGGGAAATCAGGGCAGACTCCCCAGAAGAGGTGGTATCGGCCGGGGTTGAAACAGGAGTACCAACCAACAGGTGGGTTGGAGCGGGTGAGACATTTCAGGTGGAGGAGGTGGGAGAGAGCCTGGTGTGGGAGGTTGGGGGCCCCAAGGTTACACTGGCTGGCTCTGGAGCCAGACGTACCTGGCTTCTAATCCCAGCTCTGGTGCTTTACCGCTGTGGGAACTTGAGTCTCCGTTTCTTTAAGATGAGGTTGATAATAATAGAAATCTCTTCAAAGATGGTAAGAATTAAATATAATAATATATATCAAGAGCTCAGTGCAGGGCTGACCCGGAAGTGGTCAACAATTGTCAGCTCGGAGCATAGGGTTGGATATGACCAGAGAGAGATGGACTGCAGGGCCCTTGTAAGCTGCCGGAGGGATGGGGCACAGAAAGCAGACTGTGGCTCCAGAGTCTGGGGAGAGGTGACACTCCAGGGGACTGAGAAGTCGAGGCAGCTACCGAGCCATGGATGCTGTCTGTCTCCCCTCCTGCCTGCCAGGCCCGGGAGCCTCCCGAAGCACCATAGCAGCTTACTGAGTTGACTGGACTGGGTGGCCTGGCACTTCAGGCTGAGACGAGGGTAGACGAGGGCTTCCCCCTCCCTGGAGCTTGCCGGATGACCTAGTTGGCGGCTGTGTCCATGTTTGGCTGAAAACAGGAATTTCTGCTTTGCTGAGGGTTTTGGCCAGGTAAGCAAACTCCCCCTTTTGCCAGGAAAAGGGGCCAGGGGCTTGGCGGGCTCCGCCTGGTTAGGAGGTCCGCAGAGCCCTGGGCTGAGCTCAGCCTATGCTGTTGTCCTCCCTGAGGCTTCACTGAGCACCTACTGTATGCCAGGCCAGAGAGTCACATGCCTTCTCACTCCTTTGGAGTAGGAACTGGGAGGTAAGAGGTCAAGCCCAGAGAAGCTGCCTTGGAGAAATCTCCAGGATGTTTGGAGAGAGAAGAGGTGGAGCATCACTGAGCTGGAATTTGTGGGAGAGGAAGTAGGGAAGAGAAGCTAGGCACCGACAAAGGGGGTAGGGTCTAGGAGTCAGGCGGCTGGGAAGGGGAGACAGGGCCACATGAGGACAGGCATAGGAGTCTGCAAAGTGGAGGGTGGGAGAACTCCCTGCCCTCTTCACCCCATTTCAGAGTCCCTCACCTGCTCCCCACCCCCACCACAGGTGAGGTGGCTCTTGTCCCTTCGCCCAGAACTCACAGCCCATACCCTCACCCTCCAGTTCCCTGCCAGGAACCAGGAATGCTCTTCTTCAAGGTCAGTCTTGAATGGCAGCCTGACCACTCACTCAATTCTCTGGCCCCTGGAAGGACTTTAGCTCTCCAGCTGGGGAGGACTCTGGGTCTCGGGGTATCAGAGTTGGATGCTCAGGGCTGGCTGGGGCTGGAGACAGAGCCATGGGCATCATCAGAGCAATGGAGTGGCTATGACGATGATGGTGATAACATTCTTGAGGGAAGAGGGCCTGGGACCAAGTCCTGGTGAACGCCACTCAGATGCCTCCAGGAAGATGAGCACATTACAGAGTCTGAAAAGGAGTGGTGTGAGAGGAAGGTGGGAACCAGTGTGGGGGGCCTCGATGCCAGCGAGAGTGTGCCAAGGGGAAGACATGGGGGACGGGGAGGATGGGGTGAGGGACCCCGCCGCTGAGAGGATAAGGAGGCACAGTCTGGAAGGCACAGAGTTCAGCAAAGGATATTCTTGGTGACCTCAGCCTGGGCAGTGTGGGGGTGGGGGAGCAGGAAGGGCAAAGCCACCTGGGGTGAGTTGAGAATGGAGGGGAGGAGGAAAGGGCTGCTTCATTAGGAAGTTTGCCCATGAAGGAAAAGGAAAGGGAAAGCAGTTTAAGAGTCTTTTTACTATTTTTCAGATAGGCAAGACTTCAGCACAGCCACGGTGTGAAAGGGAGACGTGAAGAGAGCAGAGAAGTTGCAGAGGGAGGCCCCAGAGGGTGGGCAGGACAGACAGCTGTCCTGAGGCTGGGGGCTAAGCAGAGAGAGAAGTGAGAGCAGGAGCTGCGCAAGAAGGAAGGGCTGGGGGAGGGGGGTTCCGGCTTGTTGAAGGTGAGGGTCAAAAGTGTGGCCAGGGAATGAGGGCTGAGGCCCCAAGGTCCAGGGTGGTGAGGACCCAGAGCCTCAGTCTCCCCTCAGTGGTGTTTGCCATGAGGATTCAAAGACTATGATGGAAGCAGAGGGAGTTATAGTGGGTGCAATGACGCCCACAGTCCACAGCAAGGAGGAGGCTGGCAGGCCACGCTGTTTCTCCAAAATTCTATTTTAATACATTCATGTGGGTTATACAAAGAGCTGGTCCCCAGGCCGGCGTTGTGGCCTGGCTCCTGGAGGTGAGAGCAGCATTGTGTAGTGTTTTCAGAAATCAGGCCTGAAGGGGCCCACGCCTTGCCCTCCAGGCCTGAGGAAGAGTGTTTCTGTGCAGTGAGCACCTGTGGTTGTGATCCCAACCAGGACTGGGTCCACCTGGCTGCCCCACATGCCACCAGGGCCCTAGGCTGAGGCCAGGACACCAGCTTCTAGCCTCGGCTCTGCCACTGACTCCCTGAGTCCTTGACCCTCTCTGGGCCTCAGTTTTCTCGTCTATAAAATGGGGCAGAAAGAAGGGTGTTTTCATTGTCTCGCACTTTACCAAGCACCACCATGAGCCAGACCAGGGCCAAGCATGGGTAGGATAGTGAAGACAACAACAGAGGCACTTGGGCTGACCCCGGGCCTCCTGGACAGGCCATGATTCCAAGGGCATAAGGAAAAGGGGGTTATATCTAGATGGGTTGTTCTACCCACTCTTGCAGGGTGGAAAAAGTCCCTGCATAATGAGGACCCAAAAGTGTTTGGAGCCAGAATTATCTTGTGATAGGACAGCTGAGTGAGAAGGACATCACTCAGGTCCAGCCCCCAAGTCCCCTTCACACCCGCAATGAGCTCTGAATCCACTTTAGTCATGGGCTTTGCCACTGGCTTGTGAATCTCTAAGTTCCAGTCTCTTCCTCAGCCTCAATTTCCCTATCTATGCAATGGGTGAGGTTGGCCTCCATGGTCTCAAACTCCAGGCTCTTGATCAATGAACAGGGAACGCAAGAGCAAGAGAAAAAGGTGAGCACACACCAGCCTGCAAAGGAGGGAATAAGGGAAACTGAGGCAGAGGAGGCAGCCTGGGTCTGCCTGCCGGGGAGAGAGGAGGGAGATGAGCGGGTGGACATGTGCCCAAAGGATGCTCCCAGGCCCTGCTCCCTCAACATGGAGCCATTTCCTGTCCACCTCACAGCCGACTGCCCCCACAGTGGCAAAGGTCAGGCAGAGGAGACAGGAGGAGCTGAGCCTGAATCTCAGGTCTGGCATTTCTTGGCTGGAGGACCCTGAAGGGAGAGTTTGGGAGTTTTTGTAAAATGGGTTAAATAGCAACCTCAGAGCAACCTCATGAAGACACAGACACGTCCCCACCTCCAGCAAGCCAGGTGTAAAACAGAACGGGAGACCTAAGGTTCTAACTCCTGGTTCACCAGCCAGGGTGTGGGCGCTGGGGACAAACAGGGTGCCTGTGGAGGGAGGTGGGGGGCTAGAGCAGTACTGGGGTGAGTATCCGCACCCTGGGAGTGCTGGGCAGGGAAAGAGCCTGTGGGAGCCGGAAATGGAATGGTCCAGCACTGGGGTGGGAACTCCAGGCTCCATGGGAGCTGCTGAAGCCACAGAGCCAGATCCAAGACCTACTCGTGGGCCTCCGGTTCCCTTCCACGCACGTGCTCCAGAGAAGCTGAAAGTCATTATGGGAAGATGTGACCAACAGTCTGCTTGGATGCATTTCAGATGAGTCTTCCTAGTCTCGCCCCTCCTGCACTCTGGCCCTGGCAGGGTTGAGACCCTCCACTCTCCAGCCAGCTGGGGGACTGCAGCGCCCCAGAGCCCTGGCCTCCCACCCTGTGTGGTCACCACGTGGCTTCGCAAGCAGCTCCCTGCCAGGACTTGGAACCCTTGAGGGCAGGGGTGTGTCTCCTTCACCGGTGTCCCCAGCGCCTGGAGCTGGATGTGGCATGGAACAGATGCCTGGCAGAGATCTGTTGATCAGACAGGTCAGCCTTATTCTCTGTTGCTCCTGAAAGTGCCCAACTTCCAGCCCCCATGGCCGGACCCCATGTGTGGCCTGGGATGTGGGTCGCCCACCATGACTGCGGGACATGAGGAGAGGAGCCCTGGGCTGGGATGGAGAGACTACCATTCCCTAACCCTGGCTTACCGTGTGACCTTGGGTCAGTCCCCACCCCTGTCTGGGCCTCTGGCTCCCCAGCTGACCCAGAAGGTCTCCCCACTGCGCCACTCTGCAGCCCCCTGGCTTCTCTAGGCTTTGTACTGTTGGTTGAACTTTTGCCGGCGGACACAGCAACAGGTGGCCAGGGTGGTGAGGAGGATGGCCGAGACCAGCGCAAAGGTGAGGATGATGATGAGGTTGATGTTCTTGAGTCCCCCCTTCTCACAGTCCTCGGGGCGCACGTGGCTCAGGGCCACCTCCTCCCGGGAGCCAAAGCGGCAGGTCAGGTCCTGGGTCACGTCCACGTCCACATGGCCCCGGTGCAGCTGGGCAGCCAGCCAGCCATTGCCGCAACAGCTTAGTGGGTTGCCCTGCAGGTAGAGGCGCCGCAGGCTGGACTCCAGGCCTCCCATGGCACTGCCTGGCAGGAGGCTGAAGCTGTTGTTCCTCAGGTCCAGCACCTCCAGGGACACGGCCTGCGTCCAGGCTGGCAGGTGGCTCAGACGATTCTCGGCCAGGTTGAGACGCTTAAGGCAGCTGAAGAAGGGCAGGTCCACTTGGAGGACAGCCAGCCCATTGCCTTGCAGGGCCAGGACCTCTAAGGAGGCCTCCAGGCCTGCCAGGGCCCCCGAGACCACATCCAGCCCTGGGTTCCCCGACAGGTCCAGCTCAGTAAGTGGCGTGCGGAGGAAGGCACCGGCCCGCAGCCGTTCCATCCCATTGCCCACCAGGTTCAGGATGCGGAGGGAGGACAGGCCAGAGAAGGCCACACAGCCCAGGGGCCCAGACTCCGCCGGCCCCCCCACAAGGCCTGACCTGGTTTCCCTGAAGGTTCAGCCTCTGCAAACTGGCCAGGCCGGCGAAAGTGTACGGGGGCAGGTCCTGCAGGGCGTTGTCCTGGAGAAGCAGCGTCCGCAGGGACCCCAGGGCTCTGGTGCCCAGCGCCAGCGTCGCCAGCGTGTTGTGGCTCACGTCCAGGTGCACGAGGCAAGGCAGGAAGCCGGCACGCAGCCCCACAAAGGCTCGCAGGCAGTTCCGGCTGAGATTCAGGAAGCGAAGGGAGGTCAGGGGCTCAAGAAAGCCCTCGGGGACCAGCTCAATCTCATTGTAGCTCAAATCCAGATTCAGGAGCTGGGAGAGGGCATGGCTGCTGGCATTCCGGCTGGGGTTGGAGAAGGGCAGGGCCGACCACCCCTCAGAAGGTGCGTGGATGCCCTCGCCGCCCTGGACCAGCCCCGCCGGGAGCCGGATGAGGTTGTTAGACACGTTCAGGTAGAGGAGTCTGGGGAGCGAGGCCAGGTCTGGGAAGTGGAGCAGTTTGTTCTCCCGCAGGTCGAGCCAGGCCAGCTGATACTCAGCCTGCGGGTCCGGGGCCGTCTGAAAGGCCTCGATGCTGTTGCAGCTCAGGTCGAGCACACGCAGGGGCTGGAGGCTGAAGTCGGAGATGCAGGTGAGGGAGTTCCTGGAGAGATTCAGGTGGGCCAGGTGGGGCAGGGCCTCAAAAGCCCCATCCTCGATGTCCATGAGCACGTTGCTGTGGAGGTCCAGCCGCTCCAGCGCGGGTGTGCCCCAGAAGGTGCGGCGGCCCAGGCGCGTGAGGCTGTTCTGTGCCAGCGAGAGGGCGCGCAGGGCGGGCGCCTCCCCCAGCAGCCGTTCCACCAGGCCACTGTACAGGCTGTTTCCGGACAGGTCCAGGGAGGTCACACGAGGCAGGGGGCCCAGGCCAGGGGTGCTCAGCACGGTGCCTGCTGCCAAGCGGTTATGGGCCAGGTTGAGGTGCTCCAGGTAGGGCAGGGCCTGGAAGACCCCCGTCTGGATGAAGCTGATCTCATTGGTGCTCAGGTCCAGCTGGCGAAGTGCCGTGTAGAAGCCCAGGGGTGAGGCCAGGATGCTCCGCAGGTGGTTTCCAGATAGGTCGAGGGCCTCGATGTCCCGCGGGAGCGTTGACGGGACCTGGAGCAGGCCAAGAGCCTGGCACGATACCTCCTTGTCGACCTGGGGTATGTTGGGGATGGCAGGGAGAGCAGTGGGTGTGAGTGGGTACAGCAGGGGGTGGAACCAGGCACACCTTCTAGGAAGGATGCCTCGAGCCCCTCCCCCACTCCAGCCAGGCTTAGCAAGGCTTCTCCTGCAGCTCCCAAGATGCACATTCTTCCCCTGTCCCAGCTCAACCCTCCCACATCTGGACCATCCCTGTCTTGCTCCCTGTCCCCTTCTCTGGCACTCGGCACTGTGCTGGGCATCAGAGAGAGACTTAAGGAAGTTTCATGGATACACAGGCACAGAAAGGACAGACAGATATGAGGACAAATGAACTCACAAAACACCCTATACTGCCTTGACCCCATTTCACAGGAAACTGAGCCTTATATATCCCAGGGGGATCCCAAGCCAGTGAACAGCAGGGTCAAGCTGGAACCCAGGGCCTCCTGGTTCACAACCTGGGTTCCTTTTATGGGCCCAGATAGTTAAATTTGCCCAGCGGCTGTTACACCAAAAGCCATCTGGGGAGAAAGGTTTCCAAAATGCAATTTACACTCCTCTCACTGGTTTTTATTTTGGCCTCCTACCCTCAGACCTCATTCAAGCCCTCATTCCACGAGGCAGAGCTCTAGGTCCCAGTGTTTGCCTTTCTCACTGCATATCCCCCAGATGAGTCCTCCTTTCTGCTGCTGTCACCTGCCCCACCTCCATCAGTGGTCTGGCCCTCCATGGCCTTGTCCAGATTGGCCCCTGGAGATGGGAGCAGGGGTGGGTAGCAGGGGAAAGATGGCCAGGGTCCCACACACATTCTTCAGTGACAAGACTATGGTTTTGCTGTGTGAGCCTCACCAAGTCACATTACCACTCTGGGCTTTTTGTCCGGAAAGCAGCACCCTCCCCCAGCATGCACTCCACGTTTCACATTTATTTAGCACATTCAGGCCCAGGGTCACAATGGAGCCTCACGAGAGCAAGCCCATGAAATATGATCACCCCTCTGTTCAGAAACCCAAGCTCAGATTGGGTAGGGGGGCTCCAGGGTCACCCAGCTGAGGAGGAGCAGAGCTGGGGTTTGAACCCATATCTTTTCACAACAGAAGGCCAACTTTGTCCTTCTAGCACATGTGCCTTTTGGAGCCTGATCTGTTTTTTTCTGTGCAAATACAGTCTCCCTCTCACCTTTTTGAAGACCCCAGGAATCCAGCCTTTCCTAGGAAAGGGTCTGACTTCCACAATCACCCAGCTCAGGCCCACTCCGGCCCTGGGCTTTCTGTACCCATTGACCCCTTCTGACCCCTCCACCTGCCTAACATCTGGCAACTGCTAAAAGAAAACCTCTACTACGGGCTACTCTTTGCTTCCACCACTCCTGGGCAAAATCCAGGACACTCAGCAGGTTTCAAGGCTGTCCTTAGCCCTTGCTGACCTGTCCTCTCTCCTCCCAAACCACTCAAACCCAGCCCATACACAGTGAGCACACCGGACTGCTGCCCTTTGTGCCCTCGCACCCCTACCTGTGGGCCTCCTCCCTGCTGGTCCCCATGCTGGTCATCCCCGCCCCTCCCTGCCCAGGTCTGCAGGGAAACTTGGTGTTTGGTGTTCTGAGCTAGGCAGGTGGGACCTCCTCCGGGCTCTCACCGCCCCAATGCTCCCTTTCTCATAATTTGGCCCCTGATTTTGACAGTCTGTGTGGGATCTGCCAGGTGGGGAGCTTAGAGCTAACAGGGATTGGTGTGATTGGTGTGGGTGCCTTGGACCTGACCCACAAAAGGTGCTCCATGCATTTTTTTAATGAATGAGTCATGGACATCACTGGCTTAGTAAAGGACTGAGGGATTGAATCAATCACCTTTCGGGAAGGAAAGAAAACAAGATGATCTATGTCTTCTAACTGGAGTTAAAGACCATTGGAGTAAAAAGACTCCAACTTCCCTACTTCCCCGATGGACAGACAGAACCTGAAGATGGCAGTGACCTGTGCGAGGTCACAGTGAGTGGTAGAGCCCCCTGGGGCAGGAACACCAGCCTGAGGGTGCTCCCTGCCTGTCCCAGCTCTCAGCTTCCTCCCAAGAGCTCCAAGGAGAGTGTGGGAGGGGAGGGGGAAGAACGGCCCTCATCAGGCCCAGGTGTGACCCTTCCTGCTCTAGCAGTCCTGTGAGTTGGTCTTACCACCTCCAGCCAAGCAGCTTTTCCAGCATGGATACCGCTGCTGTCGGGCACTTTCGTTCCTTTTTCCACAAGCCTAGCTCGGCCACCTTGTGGGCCCTGCCTGGCTCCTGCCGCTTCCTTCCTCACAACCTCTCTGCCAGCTCAGGCCACTGGGCACGGCCTCCTCAACCCTCTCCTCCGCTCCCTGGACCATCTTGACTGAAGGAGGAAACCGCAAAAGGAACAGCATGACTGCCACTGTCACAGAGCACCAGTTCCATGGCAGGCTCCATGGCTGCGTGCACAGACCGCTCTCCTCATTTAATCCTGGCATGTATTTGTTACCCTGTTGAATCCTGGGTGAGCTTAGAGGCTCCAGGGTACCCCCACAAGTTCCTTTTTCTATTGCCAGCCAGGGACCCAGGCTGACTCTTTCAGCAAGGTAAATAGTACCAGCCAGCATTTACTGAGCCTCTGCTGTGTGGTGGGCACTGTACTGGCATCCACATGACCCCACACCTCATTTCACCTCTGGATATCAAAGGCTCCCGGGACACCAACGCCTGAGAGCCAAGCCGGGACACAAAGCTGACCACTCCCAGCTTTCTACCGTGGTGCATACAGGGCCCAGCCGTGGCTGCTGGTCAGCAGGGCGGCACTGGGCTACCGATCCAGAAGGAAGCTTAAAGGCCAGGGCTGCTCTCAGATCTCTGTTTCTAAAGACGCCCCCCACCCCTGAGCTCTGAGTCTCCAGCATGACAGACATAGCCAAGTTCAGAGCTCCCCTTGACAACCTGTGACCCATTCTCTCTGGGATGCCAGGATACCACTGCCCCCATTTTTTTTTTTTTTAAAGGAAGGAAGAGGACTTGCCACCCAACTCCATTTGGCCATCTTTCCATAGACGGGAAACGGGGTATAAAAAAGTAGCCGGCAGAGGCCAGCATAAGCTCAGGAGAGCTGGGTTCAAGCCCTAGCTCTGGTACTTCCTGTCTGTATGAGCCTGGTGGGTCACATCTCTTCTCTCGGCCTTGGTTTCCTCCACTGAAAAGAGGAGTTCTTTGCAGGATAAAATGAGAGAAAGCCTTTAGTGTGGTGTGGGCCCCTCCCCCGCCCTCAGGATTGTGGCCATTTCTTTTTACCATTTTACAAACGACCATAATCCCTGTACTGATCTTCCCTAGCAGTGCAGAGAGTGCTTTCCTGCCTATCGCCCCCCAGAATCCAAAGCTCACCCAGCTTCCCTCTGCCTGTGGGGTGGTCCAGGCCCTTCACCTCTCTGAGCCTCTCTTCATGGGCAGAATGGGACTCTGCACCTGGGGATGTCTGAGGTCTCCTCTGCCGGTTATTCTGGGATCTGGGAATCTCAGAAGGGCTCTGAGGAGCAAGAAGGGAGGTGGCAAAAGCAGGACCTGGCCAACCCCAGGGAAGGGCTGAGGGCCCCTGCCTGCCAGCACTCCCAGAGGTAGCTGCCTCGCTTGTGTCAGGAGTGTCTAGTCCTAGCCGGCTCTAAGTGGGGCTGCTGGAGGGCCTGTCGCTTCCCCAGCCTGACTCCCACCTTGACCTCAGTGACTGCCCAGCCTTGTAAGAGGACCTCGGTGGTCCCTCTTCCCTGTATCCCGCAGGGTCCCAGTGACTTCAGGGCTAGTCTCCCCGGCCAAGGGCAAGAAAAAGGAACAAAAGTGAATCCAACCTTGTCCCTGCCCTGAAGAAGCTCTTGGTCTGGCAAGTGAAACAGGTTTGGACCCATTCACCAACTCCCCCATGTGCTCAGCCTGAGAGTCCAGAAAAGGGCACCCAGAACCAGATCAGCCTGGGAGGGGCTGGGGAGAGGGGGCTCCCTGGAGGAGGCAGCCATGAGTGAGAGGAATCCCATCAGAGAAGCAGCAGAGGGGCATAAGTCAAGGACCTATTAGCAAAGGGGATTTGGCCCAGAAGGGACCCAGCTCACACACCCCAAGTTCCCTACACATTTTCTGCATCACGCCGAGGGTCCACTGCCCTGCAGGGGCAGCTGGAAGGAATAGAGTCCAACCTCGGCCCCACTGGTCCTAGTCGAATGACCTTGGACAAATCATTTAACCTCCCTAACTGCAGTTTCCAACTCTATAAAACAGTAACAATGGTACTTACCTAACAGGATGAAGAGCACCTCAGGTCTTTAAACATCCCAGTAGGTACTCATGAAATACAAGGTTTAAATGCCTTCCCTTTCCTCTTCTAACCCCACTGCCTTCTGGCTCTTGGGGCTGGGGCAGGAAGACCCCTCAAGGGTTTACCCCGCCTGGGCAGGGCTTCTTACCATCTCACAGGGCGCCTTGTCTCGCTGTTGGGAGGCGGCCAGGCCCCGGGTCAGCACGGCCAGGAGCAGCAGGATCTGGTGGCTCATGGCTCTGCAGAGGGTGGGGAGAAAGGGAAACACTGTAAGACCCCTGGCTCCTTTTCACTGCCAGCCCCCATCGCTCCTGTCCTGTCAGGACTGCGTTCAGGGAACCCCAGGTCACAGCCAGAGCTGTACCGAAGACGTGAGTGCTGGGGTCTGCCGCCTACCCCAAGGGCCCTCTCGTGCCAGGCCAAGGGGCTAGGCTGTCGCCCCACACAGCAAGAGTTTTGAGGCAGTGGGTGACTTGGTCAGATCTGGGTTTCAAAAGACCCTCCGTGATGGAAGACTGCATGGAGGCTGTGAGCGGGAGACAGAGGGACTCTAAGGGCTGTTCCAGGGCCAACCTCAGAGCTGGGGTGGGGTAAGGAGGGGAGCTAGGCCTCTGCATTTTTACCCAGACCCTAAGCGGGTCCCCCATCTTAGTTTCTTAGGTCCCAAACGGAATTCCTCAATCCCCCCACCCCTGGACCTTTATTTTGCCCTTTTTCTTTTGATTTTCTGATTCTGGAGCCCCTGCCATTGTTTGAAGGCTGGGCCTGGAGCCCTGACAGGAAGCCCCGCCAGGAGGCCTGCCCTGCCCCCAGCGCTGTTGCTGTGGACTTCCCCAGGAGCAGGTTCCAGGCCCTTTACTTTCACTGAAGTTACCACCAGGGCAGGGGCCACTGGGGCAGGCCTGCTGGTGTCCTTCTCCATATAGCCTGGCCAAGGTGGCGTTGAGGAGGATCACAGAGGCCCTGAGCAGAGTCAAAGCCCAGTGCGGCTAGGGGCTCACTTACTGAGGACCTGGGTTAAGGGCTATGAGTCCACATCAAGTCATTTCTTTCTCTTTCTTCCTTTTTTCTTTCTCTCTTTCACACCTTACTGAATGCCTCCTCAAGTCTGGCTCTGTGCTGGGAACTAGAGTCACAAATAAATGCACAGAAGGGACTGGAATGCATACTGAGTGTTCACAAGGAAGGACACACAAAACCCTCCAAGAGCACTGGACTCAGTCACCCATAACTCTCTCTCCCTCCACTTACTTTCTATGGGACCTCGTAAAAGTCACTTCACTTCTCTGAGCCTCAGTTTCCCCTTCTGAGGTTAATGTCAACTTTGCTAAGTGTTGGTAAAGACCAAATGAGCTGCATTGCATGAAAATGCACTCACAGAGCCCTTAATATGCACCAGACAGTCTTCTTGATACTTTAATCATTAACTCACTTAATCCTCACAGTAATTCAAGGACTGGGGTCTACGATTACCACCCACATTTTGCAGGTGGGGGAAACTGAGGCTCAGATTAAGTAACACACCAAGGTCACACAGCTCACTAGTGGCAGGCCCACGCAACCTGTGCCCTTAACCTCTACTCTAGAAGGTCACCCGCAGGTGCTCAGTAAGTGAAAAGTGAGTTGTGACTCTGAAGGATACTTTAGAAGAAGCAGCATCTATAGGACCTTTGAGGTCTTTGACTGTCTTTGAGGTCTTTGACTGTCGGAATGCACTAGTGTCCTTGCGATGAATTTTAAATTAAGATGGTTAGTCAGAGGCCCTTTTTTGCCCAAACATGCTTGAGCCACAGTGGTGTCTTTTTAACCTTATTCCCTGGCTTCAGCTAGAGGCCATGGGCCCCCTGCTCCCCACAGCTGCTCTCCTCTCACCTGCGTTCACAGGAAATTTGGTTCTGCTGTTTAAAAAGCAGAACATCACCACCCATTTGAAAGCTAGTGTACTCAGAATTGAATGGAAACCTCTCAGTGGGACCTTTGAGGCCCTTGGGGAGTGTGTCTGCCCGGCCAGCTCTTCCCCCAGCTTCATGGCTGGTTCACTGTTGCCTCTCCCGCTCTGGCTTCTGGCAGCCTCCCACTTCCTTCAGTTCTGTGAGCACCTTTTCATTGCCCCAAACCTTCACTTCCTCCCCTGCCTTGTGCTGAATGCCTCCTCGTCCTCTAGTTCTCCACTTAGATACCCCTTCCTCCAGGAAGCCTTCTCTGATTTCCCAAGTCTGATGATGGAGAACTCATCCTTCAGGTTCCCACAGACCTTGAGCTTCCAGTGAGCACAGTACTGAGCACTCTGTTCCTTCCTCTGATCCCTACTCCCCTCCCACCCAGTGCCAGGGAGGCACTGAGACTGACACAAGGTGGGGGGAGGGAGCAGAGGGCAGCAGGGGGAGACCTTCTTGACTCTCCCTTCATTTCCCTGCCATACTCCTTCCCCCCATCAGCAAGTTTTATCTGTTCTGCCTGAAAAACAGATCCTGGGTCTGCTACCTCCCTCCTCCATCGCCATGCCACACTGAGGCACTGACCCAACCCTTGGCCCTGAAAACAGCAACACCCTGCTTCCACACTGACCCCCTGCAGGTGGTCCCCTACACAGAGCCAGAGTGCTGTCTTTAAATCATATATCAGAGCATGAATCTCACTGCTTGAGAACCTCCCCTGAAATCCAGGCTTTACCCACTCTCCTCTCTGACCACATCTACCATGTGCCCTGCCCTTACCAAATTCTATTTTTTTTCTCACCATTCCTCAAACACAGCAAGTGCATTCCTGCCTCAGGGCCTGGAATGCTATTCCCCAGATTCCCACACATTTGGTTTCCTTGCATTGATCATTTCCTGCTGATAGCTTTCTTTCTTTCTACCTTTCTAACTTTCTTTCTTTCTTTTTAAGATTTTATTTATTTATTTGAAAGAGAGAGAGCAGGGGGACAGGCAGAGGGAGAAGAACAGGCAGACTCCCCACTGAGCACCCCCCCCATATGGGATTTCATCCTGGGAGCCCTGGATCATGACCTGAGCTGCAGGCAGAGACTTGACCAACTGAGCCACCCAAGCACCCCTCCTATTAATTTATTTCTGATTCTATGAGAACAGGGGTCTATTAAATGGTGCTCACCAAATATCTATTGAACAAATGGCAAAGCGAGGGATAGAAGCTCTACTTGAGGGGGCTGTGAGGTCAGGACAAGGAAGGACCTGGATTGGTTCTGAACCTGAAGTCAGGGCCACTCAAAGCAGCCCTCACTATCCCCCTTCTTCCTCCACCTGCCGGATTTCACTCTACCCCCAAGGCGGCACCTATGCATCCAGCAGAAGTCTCTGGCACCTCGTGTGCAGGCCCCCTTCAGTTGTGCCCCCAACTCTCTGTGTAGCACGTGAGGGCCACTCACTCTCAAGAGGGAGGACTGTGGTCACATAGACCCAGGCTTACATTCAGACACCACCACTTCTTGCTCCCTGGGCAAGTCCCTTAACCTTTTGGTGCCTCAGTGTCCCATCTGTACAGCAAGTCGCCTGGTGGCTCTTCTGCCACCAGCTTCCCCCAACCACTGTGATGATCGAGCTGAGAATAACTGTGAAGGTGTCCTAGGTACACTGTCTTTCCCAGCTGGGGCAACGACTCAGAGGGCTGAACGGCCCAGGTTGAGGAGGGAGGCCCCAGGCCTGCAGACTAGTAGCCTAGGCAAGAGAAGGCAAGAGACATTTTAGGACTCTGACTGGGAGGACAAATGCCAGACACACACAGTGTGTGTGTGTGAGAGAGAGAGAGAGAGAGAGAGAGAGAGAGAGAGAAAGAGAGAGAAATAGATTGGGGGAGGGAAATGCCTATTATACTATTCTAATAAGCCTATCCCTACTATTTCAGGGCATTAGACATTGTTCTAAGCACTTGATCTGTATTATCTCGTTGAAGTCACAACCCAATAAGGTGGTTACCATAATTTCCATTTTACAGATGAGAAAACTGAGGCTCATAAAGTGACTTAGCCCATAGTTCATAAGCATTTGGGGAGGGTGGGGGTTAACCCAGGTCCACATAACTGAGCTACCTGCTCTCTATAGAACTACTCTTACTTTCCCCAGAGGGGGTTACAAGGCTCAGAGAGGTGACTTAACACAAAGTCACACAGGCAGTAAATAGCAGATAGATTCAGAATCTGGTCTGTCTGCCTCCAAACAAATGTTTCCACTACACCAGGCCAAGATCTCCCCCTCTAATCACCTCCAGCGATGCCCACCTGCACCCCTATCACACACAGACAAGCTCACAGGGCTGGGGTCTGGGGTGCTCCTCTCCCTCCTCCCCGCCCCAATCTCCAGCAGAGTAGGGTCCTGGGAGAGCTGCTGTGGATGTTCATACCAAGCAGTGAATCACTACGGGCCTGCCCCATTCTGGAGACATGTGCATCCCACGGGGGAATTAGACCTTAACCCAAAGGAATGTAGCTGTGATGGCGGAATTTCAGGCAGCTCGGGTGGGGGTGGGGGTCCCTCACATCTTACCACTCACGAAGAAGGCCAGCTTCAGAACACTTCAGGGAGACGTGGGTGCCACCCCCACCCCGCCAATCCCCACCAGAGATGGGCAAGCTATTTGGTGCATTTTTGGTGCGGTGGGATAGGAAGCGCGGATCCGTCTGAGTCCGAGGGCGGTAGGAGACTTGGATTCAAATCCTGCTCTGCCCTTGACTAGCTGTGAGTTCCCGGGCAAAAGCGTGCCGGCCTTTTGGCCGCTTTTTTCCCATCTGTCAAATAGGAATGCCGGCCTCTCCCTTCGCGGGAAAGATCAGCTGAGACAGGAGCCTCGGGGCCGAAGGACCGTCAGGCTTGGCTCCGCGCGTGGAGTGGGGGCGGCGGCGGGAGAGGACTACTGGGGCGCGGAGGTGGGGGGCATCGGGATGGACTGGTCTCACCCCGCGCTCTCCAGGGGTACGGGACAGCCTGTTCCCCGAGGGGCTGACAGCCTCGCCCGCGGGGCGGCTCCTACCTGGCTCAGCGCGGCCGCCGCTCCTCTCCCGCGCAGCCCCGGCACATCTTGCGCAAACCTGACCCCCCCCACGGCCCCACCCCGCGCCAGACCCCGGGGTCACGGCCCGCGGAGGCCCACGGCTGCTCCACTGCCCCACGGGAACCCGACCCGCGAGGGGGCGGCTCGGGCTCCAATTTAAATACCTCTCCCGCCGACCCGCCCCACCACGCCCCCCCTCGGCCAAGCTGCGGGGTCCTAGCGCCCGGCTGGCGCGCCCCCGCGTGACTCTGTTTCTCCGGAACGCGCGAGGGAGTGAAGCATCTTTCCGCTGGAACCCGGGCTGGGAAGGGGCGGGGTGGCAGGGGGTGGGATGAAAGGGCCGGGGAGGTGGGGTTCGCTAAGGAAGCACTGGGCGGGCGAGGCCGCCCGGACCGCCGCACGTGCAGCTCGTGGCCCCGCGGGGTCCGGAGGGGCGGGAGTCGTGGGGGAGGCGGGGGACTCTAGGAACCGCAGGTCCGCAGAGGAAATCCGGCCTGGACCCGTTTTCCCGTGGCCGGCGCCGCCGCACTTAGGGTGAGCAAACAGGAGAGCTGACGGCAGGGGCTGAAGGCGGAAGGAAATGACCCTTCTCTGGCCCTGGGGCGGCCACAGAGGGGGTTCCCCACATCACGGCCATCCCTTCTGACGAGTCCAGGCAGGTCACTTCCCCTCTCTGAATGTGCTCTCTCCTATCCGCGCTGGACTTCCTCCATCTCCGGGACCCTTAAGCAGTCCTGAAGATGGTGCCGTCCAAGTCCCCAGTCCCCAGTCCCCAGTCCCAAATGGAGAAAGTGAGGCTAGGGATGGGACAGCGAATATAAATAAAAACCAGTTGTCTGGGACTAGTAAGGTCCTCGTTTATGTTTGGGGAAACTGAGTCTCAGAAAGGTTACATGAAGCATCCAAAGTCGCGCAGCCTGTAAGAGCAGGAATTTGAGGCTGATCTGAGTGCTCTTTTCCAGGCACCATCCTGCTCAGGTTGGTTTAAAGTGCGAGGGAAGGGTGGCTCAGTGGGTTAAACTAAGCATCTGCCCTGGGTTCCCATCATGATCCCAGGGTCCTGGGATTGAGCCCACACTGGGCTCCCTGCTCAGCCGGAAGCCTGTTTCTCCTTCTCCCACTCCCCCTGCTTATGTTCCCCCTCTCTCTGTGTCACTCTCTGCCAAATAAATAAATAAAATCTTTAAAAAAATAAAAGTGCAAGGGAAAGTAGCATGGTGGTATTCTTGTCTTTTACATTACAGGTTGAGGCGCATCTTCCCCACAAAGCCACCTTCTCTCCCAGATACTTTGGCCCTCCCTAATCACAGGTACTCTGCCCTGCTAGGTGTTGACCCAAGGGTAGGGGTGCTTGGAAGAGAAAGGTTATGGCAGTCCTTCTGGCCCCCAGTTCCAAGGATAGAATGTTTCTCTTCCCAGCCTGGACAGTGACACAGGGTGCCCCACTTTGCAGATGGGAAAGTGACCACCCAAAGCCTCATGGTAAATCAGGGTAAAGCTGGGTTTAGAAGTCGGGATCCCTCAATCGCTAGGTGGCTGCCATCTTTGTTTCCTCCCATCCGGCTCACACTGGGGACAGGCCTGCACTGATGGAGACAATCCAGAGAGGACAAACTGTGATAGCAGATGGCCCAGGGCCTTACCTAGGCTCAGCGGAGGAGATCAGGGAAGTCTTCCCTAAGGATGGGCCTCAGCTGTGATGAAGGCATGGGTAGAAAAGGGTTTCGGAGCAGGGAAGGATGTCCAAACATCTCCTGTCCCTTGCGGCCACTGGAGGCCTCAGATTTATGCTCATGGAGGTCCCAGCTGGTCACCTGAATCCTCTCTCTGAACTCTAGTGCTCTTCTGGTCACATGAAATCTCTGTTTCCCTGACTCTACAGTGAAGAAGATAGTAGCTACTTCTTGGGGCTGGTGCCAGAATGAAATATAGCGAACTCAGCCAGGCGCCCGGGCCCAGCAGGTGTTAGGTAACTTCTTGCTGTTTTTATTGTTGATACCTCTGCTGTACCCTGCTGGTTTCCTTGTCCAGATCCTCGTCCAAGGGGCCAGATGCCCAGAAAGTGCTTCGCGGCATCCCTGCAGCATGGGCAGAGCGTGGCTGAGCCAGCCTCTGGCATCTCCCAGGTTCTTTCTCACATGCAACCCTCTCCTGCCACACCCAGGCCCAGGCTGGCTGTGTGCCAGCTCTTCTTTGCCTGAGTCACTGCCAAGAAGAGATCCCTGGGCTGGCACGGAGCTTTGGCTGGTGTTGGGGTAGGGCAGGGCTTGAGCTGTGACAGGCTGGGGGACAGCGGTCTGCCTCCCGGCTGTGGTTGTGGTTAGTTAGTTCACGGGGTTCCACCTCACTTGGTGTCCGGATGGGGCTCCCCAAGAGTTGGAGATAGATGGGCAACCAAGTGTGCCTACCTGTGAAGGGTGCCCCATGGGACAGGGGACTAAAAGCCAAGAACGCTACGTGCTCAGCACCCCCTCCTTCATCCCTTCGCTTCTTCAGCCGTCACGTTGCTGTGGGACTTTTGGCAGGTTGCTTGAGCTCTCAGACCTCAGTTTGTGAATCTGCGAAGTGGGGCTAATAATATCACCTGACGTCGTGGCTTGCTGTGAACAATCAAAGGCAACCTCGTGTGTAAGGTACCTGGGCAGGGCCCTGGGCCATGGTGCTTGCTCAGTAAACATGACCTCCTTTCCTTGATGGGCCCCAGAAAGCGGAGAAATAAAAGTGTCCAGGACCTACCCTTGTGGAGCTCCCAGACCAAATGGGAGGCAGATGAGAACATAGGATGATTGAGTCTAGAGGCCTTGAAGGCTGAGTCCAGGAGTCTGAGCTTGACCTGAGTGAGGGGTAGAGGTTGGAACAGAGCAGGGTCAGGGTTGCCTGGCAGCCGTGTGTGTGTGTGTGTGTGTGTGTGTGTGTGTGTGTGTGTAGGAGGGGTGGTTTTCTTTAAAAGGCCACCAAGGCTGGCTTGCCATCCAGTGTTGATTAAGTCCCAGCTTGAGCACCCCCAGGAATATGGAGTTCTCCTGAACAGCCTATCGATGGGTGGCTTAGTCTGCACCATGTTGGTGTTTTTGTGAAAATGCTTCCACTCCCTCATCCTCTTTGTGAAGAGAGTAGAAGCGTCTTTTCCTGTGCCGTCAGACTATCACGCTGAGCTGAGAGGGTTCTCTCAGTCACCAATTTGGGCTCAAGGCTCCCTGGGAGGCCTTCACCTTAAAGCCAAGAGGACATCCAAAAGTCTCAAGTAGGATCGAGCGGCCCCTGAGACCACACAGGACAGCCCAGGAGGGCGATGATGTGCATATCCTGTGTGACCTTGGGCAAGTCGCTAAACCTCTGGGCCCTGCTGCCCCCATCTAACTGTAAAACTGAAGTGGAAAGAATCATGGCACCTTGGGTCCTCAGTTTGATTTCCACTGCTCTTTGCTGAAGCCCCAGTGTGGGCCAGTCTTTCATCTCATGTGGCAAATCAGGATAAAAGCAACCACAGAGAGCCTTACAGTGAGGTGTCTTTATTATCAGTTACTGACTAGGCAACAAGTTCAGCGAGGTTAAGTAACTGGCCCAAGTCACACAGCTTTGGAGTAAGGAATTGAACCCCGGTCTTTGTACTCCCGAGCCAGATCTCAGTGTAAGGATATGGCCGTCCTCACTCCCTGCCCCTGCCTAGCACCTCTGTGGGCCCCTGGGAGTCAGGAAGTCCCTCAGCAGCCCCTCCTGGGGCCCTGCCTTCTGGGGCAGAACCCTGGGTTCCCCAGTTCTTTTACCACCAACACCCCCTCTTTACTCCCTAGGGCAACTGGGTTCAGACTGTGCTAGCTATGGGCTGTCTCCTGGAGTCACAGTAGGAGAGGAAAACAAATGTTAGTGGATGTCAGCTGTAGGGAGTTTATGAGCCAAAAACCAATGTTGGGTACTGGGAAGTTAGCACTTATAAAGGGACAAGAGGTGTGTCCTTTGCTCGGAGGAAGCTGTTGTATTAAATGGGAGTAAGGAGGCCTTGCAAGACCAGGCCTGGTGCTAGGTACCACACTTGAATTATCTCCTCCTCACAGCCTTCTGACGAGGTGGGGGTTACTGTTGCGGCCCCCCGCCTTTTACAGAAGAGACACCAAGGCTCAGAGGGATGGTGGGACTTGCCCACAGTCACACAGCTAATAGGACAGGGCCCAGCTACCATTTCCATCTGAGTCCTCAGACTCCATGGCCCTCACGCATGGCCAGAAACTAGCTTGGCTGGTTTTCTATTCTCAGTGGGGGGTCCTGAGCATCGGCAGTGACCAATGCCAGGGAAGGCGAGGCCCCGTGTACCCCTCCACTGCCACACAAGAGGCTCTGGGCTCTGAGTCTGGTCATCGAAAACTGGTTCTGAGGAGTCTGGAGGTTCCGGGAGGCCCCAGGGGAGAGGGGGGATGGTAGACAAGAAAATTCGAGACTACGTGAAGCACACAAGCAGGATCAGAAGCGTCTCCAGAGCTTGACTGAGCTGGGCCGTGGACCATGAAACCACAGCTCTCTGCAGCACCCAGGCTGCTGGGAACTTCAGGGTTTGTCCCTTTGAGCCACATAACTTTCTCTTCCATTTTAACCATTTGAAGGTTAAACTCCATGTAGCTTTTCCCTGAAGATCTAGAGTTATCGGTGTCGGCTTGGGTTAGAGTCCACAATGTCGTGTCCTGGTTTCCAACAGCAATATCCCAGCCAAGCCCAGGGGGAGACAGACAGCAAGCACATGAATGCCCTGAGGACAGCATTAAGTGGAGGCCAGGCTGCCT